GTCCAGTTTCATAATCAGTGAAGTGAACAGCAGAAAATAGCGTGAGAAAAATCGCTGTGAACCATGACAGGACACCCACTGTAATACTCCCTGAAAATAACATTTAGCCTCAAAATTGGAAAATCTAGACAATAGTCTTAGAAACAACATTTCGTAAGTATATGTGATAGCTTTAGCGGTTGCCGTAGCAATAGAACAAGAGATTTCCAGTATCTGCAGTGCTTTGTTTTTGCAATAAGGCAAGGTAAGTGATTTATTTGACGCAACAATTTGTGCATTGGAGCCAATCTGCTGTCGCTCCCAGATACCTGATTGGTTCATGACTGCTATTTGGATCAGTCAGTCATTAACCTAAAATACCACCCATTGACATGACAAAACTGTAATTTCTTGTTTGCTGTATTTCTACAAGAATCAAATTTACATATATATTGGAAACATAGTGGCTCTATACGATCCCTGTTCAATTTAACTGAAGTAATCTTTCCCATTATCAACCATTTGTTCTATCTTCATGCTAAAGAATGAAATTGAGAAAAAGATGCAAATTAATAAAGGAATCCTTTCATCTTCAAGAAAAAATGTTAGTGATTTTGATGTTATACACTGGGACTGAAATATTTCTTGTAAGAGTTTCCATTTGAATTGGAATATTCGTGAATATTCGTGCATGATCCAATTTGTTACTTCAAAGGAAAAGCTAGTATTAAACAAAGAATGTCCTTTAGGACATCCAGTTAGAGTCATAGAGTCATAGAGATGTACGGCACGGAAACTGCACCTTCATTCCAACTTGTCCATGTTAACCAGATGTGCTAAATTAATCTAGTCCCATTTCATCTGACCATACTTCCCAATAACTGTAAGATTCATAAATGTAACAAAATGTGTAATGTATAGTGAGTTAGTTTCAGGGAAAATTGCTGCAACTTAATCTGAATTGGTCAGATAACATCAGAAAACACAAGGCTACAGTTTTTTTTACAATGAAATGGAATTTATCTAAGTGAAGTCTTGGAAATTTCTGCTCCCATGAGTTACATGGACAGTGGCAAGATAGTTGGAACAATACAGCAAAAATAAAAGAAGAGTTCAGAATCTCAATGTTAAGAGAAATATTTGCTAATTTCCCATAAGGTTTAAAAGGCCAAACCACCACCTCATCACATTAATATACCTGCTTTCCTGCCATCTTGCATGCCACTTCAGCCCTTCATGATTCAGTTTTGGTCCTGGGGATACTCATGACTTGTAGTAAGGGCGTGGAATGCCCTGCCTGCAAAAATAGTAGACTCGCCAACTTTAAGGGTATTTAAATGGTCATTGGATAAACATATGGATGATAATGGAATAGTTTAGGTTAGATGGGCTTCAGATTGGTTTCACAGGTCGGCGCAACATCGAGGGCCGAAGGGACTGTACTGCGCTGTAATGTTCTATGTTCTATGTTCTATATTCTGTCAGGTCAGTTTGTACACAGGACACAAACACAAGCCATGCATCATCACGCAATGTATCTTATGTTCTTAGACTGATTCTTTAATGCTCACACACTTTTTGCTTATTTGGAGCTTGGCAGCCCTAATGATGTGGATTGATATTTAACACAGAAGGATGGCAGGCAACTTATCTCTGGTCAGAGCACTGATCTGTCAAGGGAGTGGACATGCCGTACCTATGGCAGCAATGTCACACCTATTGCATATGGCAGCAACTTATGTGGCAAACACACTGCATGTGCTTCAAGCAAATGGCCATGTGTGAGAATCATAGGGGATCAGTTTTAATGGAACGAGGGGAAACCATAGTATTCAGGGATACTGCTACAGTCAGTCAAAGGGCTTATCTGATTATATCCTGGGGCTTGGTCATTGTGAGACAGATCCTACTTTCCGGGATTTGGGATCACAGACAGTTCTGCAGGTCAAATGAAAGATGTCCGGAGATTTCAGTGGAGAAATCCTTCTGGAGGGTGGACCAGTTTTTTCTGCACTGAGACTGTGCAAGATGACTGAATGGTATAGGTGTAAGTGGTGCTGCAGAATGAGGAATGGGGTGAGGCATCTCTAATGAGGAAGCACAAAGAACAAGAAGGGTTTGTAGTTTGGGAGGATGGAGTAGATGAGAGATATCGAGTGGACATGATGCATGCAGTACTGACCGTTTTAGTCGATGAACCTCACTGAGAGGTGTATATACTGACAGGATTGAGGTGAGTGGTCACACTGTGAATGTGAGGTAGCAGAAAGGCGATTTGTGGCACTTAACCTTGTGGAGCACACAAGATCATTAATCATCTTTCTACGTAGCTATGCATTGCATTTCACCCATGGCATTGCACTCACCCAGGCTGCTATCTCAGTTCAGGCTAGCAGTGTCTGGTGGTGATGCCTCCTTTGCCAGCAAGCAGGAAAAAACACCGTCTTCCTTTCCATCACTTCATTCACCAGTAGCTGCGGGTCTCTGTCAGTGAGTCATGGAGCTACTTTACCTTCTGGGGGCTTTCCTTTGAGGTAGTGGTGAGAGGACCAGTCCCTACCTTGCAGCATCTGAAGCGGTGTGCATCTCGGGGTTTAAGTATGGTACCAGCAGCATGAATGTTGCAAAGTCCTGGTCATGGTGAGTAATTCCACCCCTCCTGCCATATGATTCCATGTGATGGGCACCCCAGATACACTGGCTGTATTAGTAATGAGATGAAGAGCAGAAGATTGCTTGGGAAAAGGGACTATGGGCTGTGATGGACGAGGTGCCATGAATTTCATTTGAGAAAGCACTTTGCCAAAAACAAAAATGGGAAAATTCAGCCCATGGTTTTAAAATGTTTTGCCCGTCATGGAACAGAACCATACTAACCAACATAATTGTAACTTCAAATTCTCCAACTGTATGTGTTTTGTAAAGTGAAGGTTTGGAATTTCCTGTTGCTGGTCAGTTATCCAGGTTAAGTAAGCGACAACCAGTGAACTGGTTTCCTTCTCTTGACTTTTCATAATGGTTCCTAACAGAAGGAGATAGCACAATTTACAAAAGCACTCGATGTAATGTAGGCTCACATCAGGGTAGGTGCCCATTGTGTCAACTACAAAGCCGAAGAGCTACTTTGTCTGAAAACCCACTTGTAGCTATTATTTGTGGGTGAGGAGCGGGTGGGTGCCTTGGTAAAGGATTTAGAGGAGGGACATGATTGTGTAGAATTTAAACAAGCTAATACATATGCCAAAATAGAAAAAAGAACTGTGGATGCTGGAGATCTGAGACAAAAGCAGAGATAGCTGGAGAAACTCAGCAGGTCCTTCAGCATCTGTGTGATGAGAGCAGAGTAACATTTTGAGTCCAGTGGCACTTCATCAGAAGAATTTGAAGAGTCACTGGACTCGAAACATTAACTCTGCTTTCTTCCCACAGATGCTGCCAGAGCAGGTGAGATTCTCCAGCTATTTTTAATTTTATAATGCATATGCCATACAGTCTCAATAGCTACATGAAGCTAGAAAACAATGTGGCTCAGTGGTTAATACTGCTGTCTCCTGGTGCCAAAGACTTGGGTTTGATTCCAGCCTCAGGCTACTGTCTGTGTGGAGTTTGCAAGTTCTGCCCAAGTCTGTGTGGGTTTGCTCTGGTTTCCTCCCACAGTCCAAAGATGTGCAGCTTAGGTGGATTGGCCATGCTAATTTGCCCATAGTGTCTAGGGTGGGAAATGTAGTGATAGGATAGGGAGTGGGTCTGGTTGGGATGCTCTTCGGAGGGTCAGTGTGGACTTGATGGGCTGAATGGCCTGCTTCCACGCTATATTTTGTTACGTTTAACCATGTTAAGAAATACCCTCTTTTGAAATTACTGATACAAACTGACATTCCTCATATAGAGTTGTACAGCACGGAAACAGACCGTTTGATCCAACTCATCCACGCTGGCCAGATATCTTAACTGATCTAATCCCATTTGCCAGCAATTGGCCCATATCCCTCATATACCCATCCAGATGCCTTTTAAATGTTGTCATTATCCCGTCTTCGCCACCTCCTCTGGCAGCTCGTTACACATGTGCACCACCCTCTGCATGAAAAAGTTGTCCCTTAGGTCTCTTTTAAATCTTTCCCCTCTCACCTTAAATCTATGCCCTCTAGTTTTGGATGCCCCCACCCTAGGAAGAAGACCTTGACTATTCATCCTATCTATACCCCACATGATTTTATAGACCTCAACAAAGTCATCCTTCAGCCTCCGACGCTCCAGGGAAAGAAGCCCCAGCCTATTCAACCTCTCTCTAAAGCTCAAACCCTCCAATCCCTGCAACATCCTTGTAAATCTTTTCTGAACCCTTTCAAATTTAATGACATTTTTGCTATAGCAGGAAGGACAGAATAAATGCAGTATTCTAAAAGTGGCTTCATCAATGTCTTGTACAGCCCCAACATGATATCTCAACTCCTATACTCAATGAACTAGCCAATAAAGGCAAGTGCGCCAAATGCCTTCTTCACTAACCTGTCTACCTGCGATTCCACTTTCAAGGAACTATGCACCGACACTCGAGGTCTCTTTGTTTGGCACCACTCCCCAGGGCCCTACCATTAACTCTGTAAGTCCTGCCCTGGTTTACCTTATACTGGATACTGATACTGAACGGAGATCTTTTTTTGAAAAAGCTTCATAAAAATAGGCATTTTAAACATTTAAAAAGAAGCTTTTGCAGGAAAATATTATATTCGAATATCTGATGGATTTCTATGTTGGATGGATGGTGTGTGGTGCAGTTTAGGATGGATGGTCATATTATTGTCATTGTCTTAATGGCATATCTGTGTGGATTGTATGGGAAATTTTGAGTGAACTGCGCAGGCACCTTTCAGAAGCGATTCAGGTACCTTAAATCTGTTGTGTTGTGTACACTGGATTAGCAATTACTGTCAAATCTGACCATATTAGAACTAACTAACAAGAAAAACTACGGTTTCTTCCACTTACTGTTTTCTATTTTTTTCTCCTTTTTTTAGGTTTTATTGGGACTTGATAATGCTGATGCTAATGGTTGGAAATCTGATAATTATTCCTGTGGGAATCACCTTCTTCACTGAGTCAACATCAACCATTTGGATTGTTTTTAATGTGGCATCTGACACTTTCTTCCTTTTGGACTTGATTGTCAATTTTAGAACTGGAATTGTTGTCGAAGATAATGCCGAAATCATACTGGACCCAAATGTAATCAAGTGGAAATACTTAAAGAGCTGGTTTATCATTGATTTTGTCTCTTCTATACCAGTGGATTATATCTTCCTGATTATAGAAAAGGGATTTGATTCTGATGTTTACAAGACTGCCAGAGCACTGAGAATTGTGAGATTTACAAAAATTCTTAGTCTCTTGCGATTATTAAGACTTTCAAGACTTATACGATATATACACCAGTGGGAGGAGGTAAGATACTTTTATTCGTTTAAATCGTAGGTCAGATTACAATCTGCAGTCCTCTCAGAAACTTTTTAAAAATTATTTCTTTAAACCACATGGATTGCAGATTGTATTGTTACAAAGCTTTTTGGTTTGGCAGCAATGTAACCTATTCTATAAAGATTGGAGGTGAATTTGTCCTGACTGTCCTCACGTAAGCAATAAAAACAGAAGTTGCTGGAAAAGCTCAGCAGACTTGGCAGCATCTATGAAGAAAAATCAGAGTTAATGCTTCAGGTCCGGTGACTCTTCCTCAGAACTGATGGTAGCTAGGAAAATGTCTGCTCTTCTCTCTCTTTGGGCTCTATCCCCACCTATTGTTTACTCCTTACCCTGTCCCTCCACTCTGTCTTCTGCATATAAACTGACACTTTCCAAGCTACCATCAGTACTGAGGAAGGGTCACCAGACCCAAAACGTTAACTCTGATTTCTCTGCTGCTGGAGTTGCTGAGCTTTTCCAGCAACTTCTGTTTTGTTCCTGGATTTAGTGTCCACAGTTCTTTCCATTTTTTATTTCAAATAAGCATTGTTCAATCACCTGGTGAAAATAGTCACACATAACTTAGATTTCAGTTACTTGCAACTGGAGCAAAGTAAAGTTTTAAATGTTCATCAGAAGTTGATGGAATTGAAAATGTTTAAAACTTATTTTGAAAGGGCAACTTAATTTTAGCATTGTTCAGGCTTCAGGCCTGGCTGAGCGAGGAGAGCGACCCCGGGTCTCACGGAGCAGTGAATGTGCAGCCATGATCACTTCACCCCCTCTTGGGGCCAAAATCCCTTTGGCACCCCCATCTTATATAACTTGTTCGTACCTCTCTGCACATGCAGGCAGATAGGGTTTATAGGATTTCCCAAACCAATTGAAAAAATCTTAACTCTGCACCATTGTTGGAACCAGAGCAGGTTAAAATCTTAAAAAACCTGAAATACGACCCCATTCAACAATCCTGAGGAAATGGTTTTTGGGCAGCAGTGAGGACAGTAGACGTATGTCTGTTTGTATGACCCAGGTCGACAAAGTGGAGCCTGGTCTGCAGCCCTCTTGGACATCCTTGGACCAATTTGAAAGAGCCAGTGTACAATGATTATCCAACGTTAAAAACCTTCATACACAGCCATCTTGAAGTTTGAAATCTGAAATATCGGGATACTCATGCTGAACCCCAACAGTGACAGACTAGAATGGCATTTAGCCATCATTGACAGGGAGTTCAGTTTTTTCAACATTGATACCACTGGCAAGCAGGAGAAAACCAGCTCAAGGAACAAGACTGTGGTTGTAGCTTCTTCTGGAAGAGGAGCAAGCCTCCAACAGGTTGGTTTTACCACTGAAAATAGTCTAATTGGCCGTCTCGGATACTCCGCTTGTGGAGTTAATAAATGCTTCATGATCTTTCAGTTCACCTATGCACTAAAACCCTCAGCACGTATACCCCAACACTGGATACTACAGTCGATTCGAGAGAAAAATTTTACACTAATCTTGGACAGTCCATGGACCGAGTTCCAAAGGGTTGACAGTCTGATCCTCCTTGGCAACTTCACCACCAGGGTTGGAAAGGACACAGACCTCTGGGGAAATATAATAGGCAGAGAGGGCTCAGAGAGATCCAACAGTAACAGTAGAGATAACAAGGTATAGAGCTGGATGAACACAGCAGGCCAGGCAGCATCAGAGGAGCAGGAAGGCTGACGTTTCGGGCCTAGACCCTTCTTCAGAAAAATTCAGCCTTCCTGTTCCTCTGATGCTGCTTGGCGTGCTGTGTTCATCCAGCTCTACACCTTGTTATCTCAGATTCTCCAGCATCTGCAGTTCCTACTATCTCTGAAACAATTTTAACACCCCCCAAACAGTAACAGTACCCTGGTCTTGACAAAATGCCTGGAACAGGGCCGATATCAGAACTGACACCTAGTTCACTGGAGAGGCGAGTGCAAGGCCTCATGGCAATACCTCACTCCAAAAGACTTGCACCTCCTGGACTACATCATCATCCGAACAAGGGACTGCAAATATATGTGCATCACCTACATCTTGACAAGAGTCAATGACTGCTGAATGGATCACCTCCTGATTTGCTCTGAGGTCAATATCAATGTTCCCCAAAATAGCGATGACAACAAAAATATCCCTGCAGGAAAATCAATGCTGTGGCACTCAAACAGCCAGATTAGAGAGCTATCTTCAGCCAGCCTGATGACCCCCACTGACCCAGAGGTGCTGAGTGCCGAGAGCACCTGGTCTGCCCTCATGGCCTCCATTAGATGTACCTGCGAAGAGATGCTGAAGAACAATAAAGTGTTAGGTGTGAATGGAATCCAAAGCACGAAAATATACTGACATTGTATGATCAGCCATGATCAAATTGAATGGTGGAGCAGGCTCGAAGGGCCACATGACCTACTCCTACATCTATTTTCTATGAATCTATGAATTTATAAGCTATGTTGGTATGGTTACATGACCTTATTTCCAGTATTTAGAAGACAGAAAGCGTGCCAGGAGATCTCAGCAATGATGTAATCATCTTCATCTTCATGAAATCTGACAGGTCAGACTATGGTAATGGCAGAGAAATTTCCCTGCTGTCGGACATAACGAAGGTTATTGTGAGAATCCTCCTCATTTGTGTTCTCCCTGTGGCTGAAGAATGCTGAAGCGGATTATGCCCTTTAAGGACCACAACAGATAGAATCTTCACTACACAGTAACTACAAGAGCAGTTCAGGCAACAGCACCAACTTTTCTACATGGTCCTCTTTGAACTCACTAAAATTTTGACACGTTCAATGGTGAGGAATTGTACAGTGTCCTTCTTTGTTTAGGCTACCCCCAAAACTTGTTGGCATTTTCCACCTATTCTGTGATGGCCTAGCGGCATTATCACTGGACTGCTAATTCTAGAGACCAGATACCATTCTGGGAACCAGAGTTCGAATCCCACTACTGCAGATGGTGGAATTTGAACTCAATAATTAAAAATTATTAAGAATTAAGAGTCCAATGATGGCTATGAATCCATTATTGATTGTTGGGGGAAAAGCAAAACCATCTGTTTCACTAACGTCCTTTAGGGAAGGAAGCTTCGATCCTTAGCTGGTCTGGCTTACATGTGACTCCACACCCACAGCAATGTGGTTGATTCTTAACTGCCCCCTGGACAATTAGTGATGGGCGATAAATGCTGGCTGAGCCAGTGATGCCCTCATCCCATAAATGAAACATACAAGTTGTGATCCTAAGCAATAGATCGGCCACAGACCAATTCACATTTGCCTGGTTGTGTGAATCCACCTCCCCCTTAGGGTGTTCCGTCCTGGAGTAGAACTATTCTACAGAACTGTTCAATCTCAACCGGCTGCCAGCCCATTTCAAGGCCATGCCAGAATCTATCATTGAACTACAGAACACTTATGATGCTTGAGGCTGCACATACGGAGGGTCTGAGCTCCAAGCCATCATCAGGACCTTCATTGAGGAATGTGACAGCATGTATCTTGCACTAAACATTCAGAAGATGGAGCTTCTCCATCAACCTGTCCTAGCAAAACTGCACCTGGCCTCTCCATCATGAGGTGTTGGACAATTTGGACTACTTTCCATACCTTTGGAGCTTACTGACAGTGGCAGTAATCCACAATGAGGTTTGACATTGCCTTCAGTGTGCCAGCACAGCCTTCGGTCACTTGAGGAAATGATTGTTTAAAAGACCTGGACCTTAACCCCAACAGCAAGCCCATGATCTACAGAGCAGTAGTGATACTCACCCTCCTATATGGGTCAAAGATATGGACTACATACAGCAGACACCTCAATCTTGAGAGAGGCACCATCAGCACTGCCTCCATAATATCCTGTAAATCTACTGGCAGGATAGATGCACTAATGTCATGTTCTCACTGAGGCGAACATTCCAAGGGTCTGAGCATTGAGTGCATTCGATTAGTTCTGCTGGGCAGGGCTGACATGAGACTCCTAAAACACATGCTGTACTCAGAGTTTTGACATGGCAAGCGAGGCCCGGAAAGGCAGAGGAAATGCGTCTCTGAAAATGTGTGACCTCCCCCATCAACACCTGGAAAACCATGGCCCAGGGCTGAGAAAGTAGAGGGGAACCATCTAGGAACACATTGTACACCTCAAATCTCATCGCTGATATCAAGTTGAAGTCAAACATTAACAGAACAAGGAACGTGTATCATTCTGGGCATCCCAATATCCCATCCCACCATTTGCACCACCTATAATAGAGGCTGTAGATTGTGCATGGGACTCTTGAGTCACCTGAGACCTCATTTCCAGTGTGAAACCAAATCATCTTCGACCACGAGGCTACCTAAGAAGAAAAATATTTTCTTTCAGCCTTTGTCCAAATCCAAATTTTTTTTCAGGTTTTGAATTCAATGGATCTGAATTCATTGTTCAGTACTGTTGCAGAATTCAATAGTAACTGATAATAATTTGCAAGTCTTATTCAGGGAGAGTCTAAGTGAAAGATAAATATCAGCCTCATGCTAGAGTGTTGCTCCTGTGAGATGCAGATTAAAAGATATCGTTAATAATGGAAAAAATTATGCTCCATACTTTGAATATTCAGCCCGATGCATATATCTTTTGCTTTATTGGACATCTGAAAATGCTAGTACCAAACCTAATTCACTATCTACTAACAGAATGATGATGTAATGCTGTTCACATTCTTGACAAATTTCTGTTTACAAATTGATGCTGCATCTTTCACAAATATTAGTCAATTGAATACGCGGAAAAACAACTGTACTTGGCTGTCATTATACATGTGATGGTCATTAAAAGTTTATGTCAGATAGCACAAATAGCACAATAGTTACATCCCATAAAGTAATAACTTTGATACATTCTCTGAATCTGTACCTGATCTTGACCAGATTGTTGTTGGAGTGAATATTTAGTATCTCTGTAATACTGACGTCTTTGCGCAGTATTAGCATTTTATGGTGGTCTCTCTTTGTGACAGCAACTTCATATATAAGTTACTCCACCTGTTCTTGATAGGCCCTCTGTAGGATGTGCATGCACGTAAGTATGATGCTTGGGAATATTATTACTCCTCATGTGCATTGAAGAAGGCAAATGGAAAAAAGCTCATTACCTATTATCATGCTACTGAGATTTCCTGGGGCTTTGTGTACGGGAGTCCCTTAGGCTGCACATGTAATTGCATCGCTATTATGATGAGGCTGGAATGATGAACCTGTTATTTGGCCCATTTTCTGATTGCCCATGAATGTTCAGTGTTCCATCAACGCAATACTTAAAGACTGATGAAGCTAATATCTCCTATTGGATACCAATGGAAATATGTCACAGACCCAGGAATAGCTGAAGTTGAAGACAAAAACTACATCTTTGTGGTACGTTTGCCTTCAAGCATGAACAATCTGAGGACCTCAGAGGCTGTGGTGAGAAGCCCAATTCCTATTTCCCACCTGAGGTATCTACTGTTCAGTTTCCCTCAGATTGTATTTCCTGTGGCAAAACAAAGTCCATAGCAGATTGTGCAAAATAAATGATCATAGAACCATAGAAGATAGGACTACAAGGAGGCCATTCAGCCCTTTAAAACTGCTCCACCATTCTTCACGATCATGGCTGATTGTCCAACTCAATAGCCTAATCCTGCTTGCTCCCCATAACCTTTGATCCCATTCACCCCAAGTGCTGTATCTAGTTGCCTCTTGAATACATTCAATGTTTTGGCATCAACTACTTTCTGTGGTAATGAATTCCACGGGCTCACCACTCTTGGGGTGAAGAAATATCTCCTCATCTCTGTCCTAAATGGTCTACCCCGAATCCTCAGACTGTGACCCCTGGTTCTGGATACACCCGCCATAGAGAACATCCTCCCTGCATCTACCCTGTCCAGTCCTGTTAGAATTTTAGAAGATCTCCTCTCATTCATTTGAACTCTAGCGAAAGCAATCCTAACCTAATCAATCCCTCCTCATATGTCAGACCTGCCATCCCTGGAATCAGCCTGGTAAACCTTCACTGCACTCCCTTGAGAGCAAGAGCATCCTTCCTCAGAAAAGGAGACCCCCCCCTCCCTCCCAACACCTCCCCCCCAAAAAAAATTGCGCACAATATTCGAGATGTGGCCTCACCAAGGCCCTGTACAACTGCAACAACACATCCCTGCTCCTGTACTCAAAACGTCACGCAATGAAGGCCAACATACCATTTGCCTTCTTTGCCATCTGCTGCTCCTGCATGCTTACCTTCAGCAACTAGTGCACAAGGACACCCAGGTCCCACTGCACACTGCTCTGTCCCAATTTACAGTCATTCAGGTGATAATCTGCCTTCTTGTTTTTGCTTCCAAAGTGAATAACCTCACATTTATCCAAATTATATTGCATCTGCCATTGATTTGCCCACTCACCCAACCTGTCCAGATCATGCTGAAAGATCTCTGCATTCTCATAACAGTTCACCCTCCCACCCAACTTGGTATCATCTGCAAACTTGGATATGTTATATTTTGTTCCCTCATCCAAATCATTAATATAAATTATGAATAGCTGGGGCCCCAGCACCGATTCCTGTAGCACCCCACTAGTTACTGCCTGCCAATTTGAAAAGGACCTATTAATCCCTACTCTTTGTTTCCTCTCTGCCAACCAATTTCCTTTCCATCTCAATACACTTCCCCCAATTTAATGTGCTTTAATCTTGCACATTAATCTCTAATGTGGAACTTTTGTCAAATGCTTTCTGAAAGTCCAAATAAACTACATCATAAGAACATAAGAACTAGGAGCAGGAGTAGGCCATCTGGCCCCTCGAGCCTGCCCCACCATTTAATAAGATCATGGCTGATCTTTTTGAGACTCAGCTCCACTTACCCGCCCACTCACCATAACCCTTAATTCCTTTATTGTTCAAAAATTTATCTAGCCTTGCCTTAAAAACATTCAGTGAGGTAGCTTCAACTGCTTCACTGGGCAGGGAATTCCACAGATTCACAACCCTTTGGGTGAAGAAGTTCCTCCTGACCTCAGTCCTACATCTGCTTCCCTTTATTTTGAGGTGAAGCCCTCTAGTCCTAGTTTCACCTGCTAGCGGAAACAACCTCCTTGCCTCCATCTTATCTATTCCCTTCATAATCTTATATGTTTCTATAAGATCTCCCCTCATTCTTCTGAATTCCAATGAGTATAATCCCAGTCTACTCAGTCTCTCCTCATAATCCAACCCTCTCAACTCTGGAAACAACCGAGTGAATCTCCTCTGTACCCCCTCTAGTGCTAGTATATCTCTTCTCAAGTAAAGAGACCAAAACTGCACACAGTACTCCAGGTGTGGCCTCACCAGGACCCTATACAGTTGCAGCATAGCCTCCCTGTTTTTAAACTCCATCCCTTGAGCAATGGCAGATAAAATTCCATTTGCCTTTTTAATTACCTGCTGCACCTGCAATCCCACCTTCAGCGATTCATACACAAGGACACCCAAGTCCCTCTGCACAGCAGTGTGCTGCAATTTTTTACCATTTAAAACATAGTCTATTTTGCTGTTAT